GAAAAGACAGAGACATAGAGACAGAAAGCGAGAAATCACCCCCCAGGGGGGACGGTCACACCACAATCCCTTCTCCTCCATTCACCTCTCGGGATCTTGTGCACACACGCACATGCGCCCTGCCTGAGTTTTAAGCCACCGGGTCCGGGACGCGAACCACGGCCGACTACGTGGGAGTCCAGCGATATAGCCATTACGCTAACTGCTGGCCCCACGCACTCTCTTGTTTCTGTGGCAATTTTTCTGAAAGCCTTTTCATGACAGCAACATTTTCAACGATGTGCTGGGCCCATATTCCAGTGTGACCAATGCGTATAGTGCTGCAAGAACCACTTTTCGAGATGTTTAATATGGTTCCACCTATAGAACTATCACTCTCTTTTGATAAATTCTTGGCCAGAAGGTTCACACTTACTGGAACTTTCTTCCTTTGATAGAAATGCCTCCCAAGGTGCGATGGTAAGAGCTGCCTGGTCCTATCATCTGTGAGGAAGAAGTCAAAACTACTGAGTAGACGAGGCTTGGCCTCATAGGCTTTATACTCCTTTTTCAAAGTCTGGAAAGGAATAATCTGAGGAATGATTTTAACTCCATGCTTATTCAAAAGCTTTCTATAGAAACGTTCTGTCTTTTCAGGAGTCGAATTGGGTTCATCCTTGGTAAACAAACAAATTTCTGCTAAATCTGTTTGAATACCATTAGGCAAGGGCAATCAGACCTTCAGTTCTTTACTAGGAATTTTTCACAATACCACCACTAAAAATAAATTTTTTACTGTCATTAAAAAGCAATCCATTACTGTTTTTCCTGGTTTTGGCATATGCCAACAGAGCTTCCACTGCCTTTCTTATCTGCCCTTTGTCCTACTGGTCCAGGGAGGTGGGGACTGCAGGAGTCGTGGGTGAGGCCTCGGGCACACCTGAATCGGACACCGCAGGAGGAGCCGAGGCCCCCATGCCATCCTCACCTCCTGCAGTGTTCTAAAGTTTTGAGAAACCACTTTCCATGATGGTTGTATTATTTTACAGTCTCACCAACAGTATGCAAGGGCTCCAATTTCTCACATCTTTGCTAATGTTTTTTTTTTTCATTTTTTTTCTTTTTCCGGGGCTGAGTGGGCTTTATTGGGCAGTGGGCTCAGTCCTTCTTGGTGGCCGCTTTGCGCATGGTGGCCAGCACGTTGCTCAGCTCCTCGCACTTCCTCTTGGCGCGGATGTGTGTGCCCACCCACTTCTTGATGAACTTAAGCCCGCGCTTGTCCTTGGACACCTTGAGCAGCTCCATGGCACGCTGCTCATAGGGGGCGAAGCCGCACACCTCCCGGATCATGTCGCGCACCGCACGAACTTGATGTGCTTTGTGAGGCGCCCGCGGCGGTGGCTGTGCCTCGGCTTGCTCACGTTCTTGGTCATTTTATGGCCCTTGTTGAGGCCCACAGCCATGGGGTACCGCAGAGCCATGGCTGTGGCTCTCTAGTGACTACTGGGGAGGAATGACCAGCGCCCTCCAGAACGCTGGGATATCTCACCAAAATGGTTTTTCTTTAAAAAAAAAAAAGGGGGGGGGGCTTTTTTTTTTTTTTTTGCCATAGGGTATATGCACTTGCTGGAGAGACAAAGTGAGAAATCACCCCCCTGGGGGGATGGCCACACTAGGTGTGGCCACATGCATATACACCTAGCATGATTTTAGCCACCGGGTCCAGGATTTGAACTATGGTTGGCCATGTGGAATTCCAATACTGTAACCACTACCTCACCTACTGTTCCCTTTTTTTTTTTTTTTTGTAGGGCTTCACTGTAGGGCGCGTGCGCTCACCAGACAGACAGAGAGAGACATAGAGAC